CATATGGGGGCGAGGGGGATAGACACCTTTGCTTGCAGATGTTGGCACACTAACAACCAGAAGCATCCACATACTCCCACTTCCTGCATTTGTTTGCAACTACCTCCTCCAACCTGATACCTATGAATTTATAGTTCCACTATTTGAACTGACCAAAGCTGTACTTCAATACGAAGAGATTTAATTATAATACTATGTGCAGCGATTGCTACTGTTTGGAATAAACCTTTCCCTCCTTCTGTGAAAAGCTGGTATAGAATAATTTAGGAATACATTACAATAGATAAAATTTTTGATCAAGTCTCTCAACAATCTCCATCTCCTTCTAAATATTTTGTCTTTTGGTACCCACTACTGAACTTTATAGCAGGTAATCCAGAATTTTTTCCTTCTAATTATACAGTTGATGTTCTTCTATGTTAAAATGTTATAGTTTACTATTAATTATTCCTTAAGTAATGATAGTGCTATGTTAACTTTTCCATTTTGTTTGGCTATGTTATTATCCTGGTTCTGTGGTTGGATTGCTACAGTTGTTATAATAATAAAAAATTAAAATAATAATAATAATTTTAAAAAGCTGTACTTCAGCTTTGGCCCAGTGTAGATCAGGTACCCTGATGCACCAGGAGAATCAAATCTGATCTTATGGTTCTGGTTTAACGTATGAGTATTCTTGTATGTATATGCTTGGTGAAGATCCATCACGGATTGATTTTCTCAGGTTTATCCCTCTTGATGACCCAACTAGAAATGTTTTGTTGTGCAAAGGAGAGTCCTGGTGGTATATCACTCCCCTCCTCTCTTGTAACAGTACCTAGCCCTACCAACTGTAGAGGAGGGAACTTCCTTCCTTCTTAGTTTGTCCAGGTGAGCTGCAGGTAGTTTCCCTCCTCTGGCACTGCTACCAAGGAATAGGAATAGAACAGAAAATGCTGTCTTGCCTAAACACAGTTGCACACACAGTGCTCCTGTGTTACACCCTTCCAAAGCCACTAACTTCAAACGACTTGAATTCTAGGATTGGACTGCAAATCTCTTTTTTCTCTCATCCACTCTAAACAGCTTAAATCTCATTCTCCCCAAATCACCATTATTCCTTTCCTTCCCCTGCAAGAGATTCTGTGGAACGGGGCTGAAAGAATTAAAAAACAAAAAAACATGCAGGTATACTAAAAGGACATCACTACCACATTATCTTTCCTCTAAACAGAGAACCAAAGGAGTAACTCACCCAGATATGCCATGGAAAATATGTATGGTATCTCCAATGCCCATTTTAAACCCCGAGAAGAGAGTCAAAATGACCTCACTGTCCTCTTTAGGAACATTTCTGGGCACTGGTGACAGAAAGGGGCATTTAATAAAAGGAAGATCCTTTAGTGCAGCTAGCTCCCACTCTCTGTCACTACTGATATAACAGCAGTATTAATAAGAGACTTTAATCTTTCAAGCAAGGCTAGGCCAGCCAAAGGTCTCCCCACTTTGTAGAATTCCAGATGGGCAGCCATTTCAGTCTGCAGTGATAAAGGGCCAGTGTTAGTGCAGTGGTTAGGCTAGGATCCTCACTCTCCCATAGAACCCTCCTGGGTGATCCTGCATCAGTCTCTCTCACACACTCACCCTAACGTAACTCACAGGGATGCCACAAAAGGGTAAATGGAGGAGACTCATGCAAGCCACTTAGGGTGTAAATGAAGTGAATAAATAAAAACAGGGCCTCACTGCCAGATTACCAACGTTTACTCCAGCATGATTTATCATCATGAAAGGTTATGCTGGAATGAATCCCGGTGGTCTACAAAGTGCCATCTTAACCAGGGTTGCCTGGAGAGATGTCCCACTACTACAACTGATCTCCACGCGACGGAGATCGATTCACCTGGATAAAATGGCTGCTTTGGAAGGAGGCCTGGAGATGATTCCCTATCGAAGTCCCTCCCCTCCCCAAACCCGCCCTCCTCAGGCTCCACCCCCCAAAATCTCCAGGGACTTCCCAATCCTGAGCTGGCGACCCTACATTTTAACAAAAACCGTGCCAGGGGGTCCAGGAACGGAACTCATTCCTCCTCATAAGGCACGGCTTGATACGTGGCTTGCTCTTCCTGCCACAAAACGAGACGTTAGGCAGGGAAACCGCTCCTCCTCCTCCTCCTCCTCTTCGTTTCCTCACCGCCCCGCCTACCCCAGAGAGCGGGCCAAGGGCGGAAATTCAGTAGCCCTCTGGGGGCCTAGAGGCGCCTCCCGAGTTTCTCTTGCGCTGTGCAGCAGCCAGTAACCTCCCGCGCTCAGGCACCCCCGTCCCGGAGCGCAGCTGCCGTCTTCCCGCCGCACCTTTCCAGCTCCAGATCCTCCGCCATGGCGGGCAGCGGCCGCTCTATCACCCACACCGCTCTGCCGTTCTCAAGTCCCGGCGCCGTCCATTATCCTTCCAGCCCCGCAGCCAAAACAGGAAGGAGGAAAAAGAAGGCGGCCCGGGAGCGTCAACGAGCACGCCTACCGCTCGCAAGGACCCCGAGCGGGCGGAGCCTCTTCGCCGAGGCAAACACAAGCGCCGCCTTCCCCGGTCCTGTTGCGACCTGGCGGTGTCTTCAGACGTTACAGAACGCGCCTCGCCCGGAAAGGGGCCGATGTCAGCGAGGATGGGTGGGCTCAGGTTGCCGGGGTGCGTTCCTGCAGGTTCACTCGCAACGCAGTGTTCCCTCTAAGCTGAGTTAGTGTGAGCTAGCTCACAGTTTTTTAGCCTCCAGCTCACGGATTTTTATCTTCGCTCAGGAAGGATGGCTCCAGAGCAATCTAATTTATGCAATAGCCAAATCATTTGCTCACAATTTTAATGCCAGTAGCTCACGAATTAGAATTTTTGCTCACAAGACTCCACAGCTTAGAGGGAACATTGCTCGCAAGCGCTGTCTTGGTGAGGATCGGCCCCCGAGAGACAGCGAGTACTTTTCTTAGAAAAGAGAGACTGTACTATACCTGAGCAACTGTGTGCTCGTATAAACATGCAATTTGATTTCTTCAAAATATTGTGGTCGCTATTAATCACGCCTTGGGGGTTTTTTTTGGAAAAGTTCGTAGTTTGTATTTATATTTATAAATAAAAAAGTATTTTTTAAAAAGAAAGTCCTAGTTTGTCACAACTTTCAAAATGGTTTGCAAAAAAGCAAAACAGGTCCTCCAACATAGGGAGTTGCATAGAAGGAAGAATTCTGCCGGTAAAAGTTTCTCTGGCCAATTTATACATTCAGCTGAAGTAAATGGTAAAGCTGTTCCTGGATCGCACGCTTTCAGGTTGCAGATGTGGAGGGCGTATTTAACTAGTTATTTCTTAATGCTCAGGCATGGGAACCTGTACGGTTTGGGCTGGCTGGGTCCGTGTTTAAAACTTGCCTTGCTGGATCCAGCCTGTCCAACACTCTGTTTCCAGCAGAAGCCGGCCAGACGCGTGACAGCAAAAAAAGAGAAGTGATTATCCTCCTCCCCTTCCCGTTTATTTTCAGCACCTGGGCTTGCTTTATAAGGCAAACCCAAAAAGGATTTTTACCCTTCTAAGCTTATTGACTTCAATAGGTTTAGAAGGGCGCAACTCTGTTTAGGACAGGTTGTTTTGCACGTCTGAAGATGCCTACTCCTACTGAGTTAGGTCCTCGGTCCATGCAGCCCGGTGTTATGTACTTAAGCAGCAGTTCCGCGGCGCCTTGCGCCGTCAGGGAACGTGGAGCTGCCCGTCAGACCTGCGCGTCAAACAGGGATCTATCAGGGACCGATGGCCCTTTCTGCCCCTTCTCAGGACTCCAGTTTTGCGCATCCGCTCCATTCATTCCCTCGCATGTCCCCGTTACGCACACACCCCTTTTTCTTTCCCCTCCTCCCGGCAGACCGCTTTCCAATGGAATCAGGCGAGTGGCAGGGACAACCCTGGAGAAAGTCGGGGCTCCAGTGGCCCGCTTGGCTGGGTCCCGCCCCGGCCAGCCTCCCATAGGTGGCAGCGCTTCCTCCCGCGGCGCTGGGGCGCTCTTTGAATGGCTGGGAGCCGCCGTCACTGGAGCCACCGTGGCTGCCCCCGGGGAGGAGGAGCCCGAGCGCTCCCTAAGTCCTGCCTGGAGTTTGCCTCTTTCCAGGAGCTCCGCGGCGGCGGCGAGAGAAGGAGGAGCCAGCGGTCCCTTGCTAGGGGCTGCGGCACGGTGGAGAGGGACGGAGCCAGCGAGCTTTACCCCCACCCCCGCCCTCCCGCCCTCCCTTTGCATCTACCCGCTGTCCCTTGGAGCGCGATGCAATGAGAAGGGAGCTTCTGCCCGCCGAGGGTGAGTAAGTTCAGTGGGCAGCCGCCTGCTGTATAGCCCTGGCCAGCTGCAACCTTGAGGCGCTTGGCTGCCTTCTGTCGGTCCCTTTCTGGCTCTTGCTCCTTCACTCTTCCAGAGACAGTAGTTTGATTCGGAACAGATCCATTCCCCTCACGCCCACCCCCTCGGCGAGGCATTGCGGTTCCAGCGGATTCCTTCCTGGTGGGTGTTTTTTTTGGTCGTTGTTTTTGATCTGGCAGCCCCTTTGCTCTCTGCGGTGGTTGCTGCCCTGTGCCGGCCTCTACCTTTGCCAAGGTTCTGGATGGCACCTCCAGCCACAGCTTTGCCTGTAGGTTGGCCATGGCTACCTCTGGCCCCCCTCTTTCTTCAGACCTTTCCATTCCCGGTGGCCAGTTTCATGTAACACCACACAAGAAACAGTTTAGCAGACCCCCCCTCCCCTCAAAGAAGAAGCTGATGCTGATTGATTTCTATTGGTGGGGGTGAATGGTTTTTCTCTGGCCCCTCCTCCAGTTGAAGTGTGCATATGTGGTTGGGAGGAGGGATCAAACTATTAATCTTCGGTGATGGAGTGGAGAAGTGGACAGGAGGTAACAATTCCTTTCTGCAAGTCGCTCTTCTGTCTAGATGCTTTTCATTCAATGGTTTGGAATTGGTATTACTATTGATTTTTTCCGTAAGATTTGTGGAGGGGTCCTCCTTTCCCCATTTTGTGATTCGAAATTCTCCAAATTGTGAATCTTTTAATACTTAGGATGACCTCCATAGGGCCAGATTTCACTCACCAAAGTGCTTAGTGCAACGCGTGAGGTGGGCCTCTCCAAAGGAGAGGTCGCTGGGGCCCAAATGCTCCCAATCAGTTTTTATGCTGGTGTTGATGTGTTGATGGAGGCTGCTACAGTCTCCTCTGCTGGTAGCAGTATTGATTTGTGGTGCTAGGCTAATGGGACATCCTGTATTTCTCTGCTTAGATGTGGCTGTTTTGGCTGTTATCATCATTAAGGTGAATCTTCTGCTGTGCTAACAGGCCTCTGTAGACTTGATCTCTGCTAGATGTGATTTGGAAGTGAGACTCAATGCCGTCCTTGGTCTTGTCTTTGCTACTGAGTGTTTCCAAGGGTTTTTAGCAAAAAAACACACACACCCCCACGTAAGGAAGCTCAGAGGAGAGAGTTTAAGAAACTCTTGCATTTCAACCCTTCTGTGGAATGTGAGTCCTGGAGATGGGGGGGAGGAAGAGACAGAGTTCAGCCATTTAAGAAATGCAGATGAGTCTGTTGTGTATGTGTGTGTGTGTGTGTTTTTAAGGTAGATATTTAGGGACCACAGATTTATTGTAGTAACATCAAAAGGCTGTCCACAGAAGCGAGATCCTTTGCCCACTGTTTACATTGAATCAGCACCAAAGCAATGTGTTGTTTTAGGCCACAGGTTGGATAAAGGCTAACTTGCTGAGCTGTATAAGAGTGCTGAATTATATTGTATGGAACCTGGAATTAATCTCCTACATGGCTTAGCTTGTAGGAGCAAAGCCTATGATAAAAGGAATGCAAGTTTCTGGTGTTCCTATGTTATCATGGTCACAATCAGAACACCGAAAAGAACCTAAAGATGGGATGGAAACAGCCTTGGTCACCATGACTGATGACCTCCACTGGGAGAGTGATGGGTGGGAGTATGTTCCTGTTGATTCTCATGGGCCTCTCAATGGTGTTCAATACCATCAGACATGTTATCCTTTTGGGGAGGCTGGCTGGGTTGGGAGTCGGGGACACCATGCTTTGGTGATTCCACTCTTACTTGACTGATTCCAGAAGGGGGTGCAGGGTGACTGCTGCTCAGCCCCATGGCCTTTTCCATCTTGTCCCCCATGTTGTTTCACATCTACATGAAGTCAGTAGGACACATCATCAAAAGATCTGGAGTGAGGTGTCACCAATCTCTTGATGACATCAAGCTCTGTTTCTCTTTTAACATCTGAATCAGGTGGGTCTGTGGAGGTCCTTAACAAGTGCCTGGAGATGGTATAGAGTTGGATGGGGGCCAATTAAGTGAACCTTAATCCAGACAAGACTGAGGTGCTGTTGGTCAGGGACAAAGTTATCCAAGCCCTGAAGAGTCACCCTGTCCTGGAAGGGGGTTGCACTCCCTCTGAGGGAGCAGGTTCATTGCTACTGGATGTGGGCCTATGGATGGATGCTCAGGTCTCCTCCATTGCACCTTGTACCTTTTATCTGCTCTGGATGATACGCCAGCCATTCCTCGAAAAGTGTGATCTGGCCATGGTGATCCAAGCTCTGATTACATCCAGGTTAGGTTACTGTAATTCCCTGTAGATGAGTCTGCCTTTGAAAAAGGGAATGAAACTTCAGCCGGCTCAAAGTGTGGCAGTCAGGGTATTGCCAGGGATGGGATATAGGTATCGTATCATGCAAGTACTGAGAGGTCAGAACTGCCGGTTTGTTTCCAGGCACAATTCAAAGTGCTGGTTCTTACCTTTGCCAGAAATTGCTTGGGGACAGAGTACCTGAAGGACCATCACCTTCCATACTATTCAACCCACCAGTTAGATTGGCCTCTCAAGCCCTGCTTTCTGTGCCCCTGCCTGGAAAGGTGAAGTGGGTGGTGGTGACTAGAGACAGGGCATTTTCTGTGGTGGCACCTTACTTGTGGAATGTCCTTCCTAGTGTCTATGTTATTCTTCTTTAGGGTCTAGGCAAAAACAATTCTGTTTACCCAAGTTTTTAATTAAGGGGTTGATGTTTTACCTCCATGCTAATAGTGTGTTCCCTGGGGGGCCTCCTTATAAATTCCGTAAATAAATGAAGAAATAAGATAAACCTTATTTCAGGATGGATCCTTGGTGTACTGTAGACTCCAATCCACTGTGTGCCAATGACAGAGAGCAGAACAAGCAAGGTTAACCACAAAAGATTCCTTGAAGCAACCAACCTTCCCTTTCTGCAAGATCTTACCGGAGGGCGACCTTTTGGATTGCAATGACCCAGAGGTAAAAGATGTATATCTCATTCTTGCATTCTTTTTTGTATGTCTTTTCTAGGGAGATTATTATCTCCTATGTAAACAAACCTTCTCTGTTCTGCATCAGACCACTGCTCGATGTTGTAGCCAAACCCTAAGTGGCAGGAGTTTTCAGGGCTACCTGGAGAAGTCTTCAGCCTGGGACTTTCTGTATTGCACAACATGTGGCATACCACTAAGCAGTGCCCTTACCCAAAATTTGTAGAGCAAACTACAGTTCTGTCCCTCCTCAGGTTCCTTTTCCTCTAAAGGGAACAACTCACATTCTTTTAAGCTTTACCTATACAATAGGGTCTTCATGCCAGCCACTCTTTATTTTCACTTTATGTTTATTTGAGTCCATACTTCTTGAATGTACACACAAGCAGACCTGCACACAGTGTCCCCAAAGATGCTGTGTGCAGTGGTATTAAATTCTTTAGCACTGCCAAGAATGTCCTGTCTGATGCATCCAGGAATTGTAATTTATCTGCTGCGAAGGTTCATCATGTCCCTTTTTGTGATTGATCAGGATCCCCAGACACCTTTCTCCTTACATCCTTTCTGTTTATGAGTGAATCTTCCCCTCTCTCTCCCTTTCTCTCGGCATTTAAAACAGTTAGATATTATTTTACTCTCTAAGGTCATCACTTTCGTCCTGCATAGCATACAACCCTTCTCCGTCTGATTTGTTATATTTCATTCACGCATTGAGGACACTAATGAAGCTAAATAATAAAGGATTCCTGAGAAACTTGTGAATCCTGTTTTCTCTACACCAAATTCGCATGTGGATGGGCTTGGAAGGTTGTAAATCTGTTTAGGATTGCACTATTAAAGTGCTTTTCTTTCCTTATCTCACTGATTGCTTGTAAGCAAACACTTATTTCCAAACAGATTCTTAGCCATGCAGAAAGGTTGATTTACAATTCCCTTCCAGCCTTTCTATGCTTTGCAATACATGTATCCTAGGTTAAAAGTCTGCCTTTCTGAATGCAAGAATTGTCATGCGCATCAGCAAATGGCCCATTTTAACTTGCTGCTCTGTTGTAATGCTTCGGGGAATTTCACTGCCATCTTACCTTCTTGTTAATCTCTGACAGCTGGCACGTAGAGGTATGCTGCCTGTGAAAAAGAAGCTTGTGCTGTTAGCTGCTCAGTAGCCACTGAATCCATGTGCTCACTGTTTGAAGTCCTTTACCTGGCTGGCCCAGGCTGGTCCAGTCTTGTCAGACCTGGGAAGCTAAGCAGGGTCAGCCCTGGTTAGCACTTGGATGGGAGACCACCAGGGAAGTCGAGGGTTGCTAAGAGTAGTTGGCAGACAATAGCAAACCACCTTTGTTTGCCTCTTGCCTTGAAAACTCTGTGGGGTCACCATAAGTCAACTGTATCTCAACAGCACTTTCCACTAGTCTAGTTGCAATGTGACAGTGAGTTCCATAGGCTTTCTACAAAGAAGTAGTCCCATAAGTCCTGTAATTGTGGATCGCTCTATTCTGAGACCCCACAAGAAAAAACGATGCTTATAAACTTCATTTATGCCCCATTTATCTCGTTTCCATGCCTTCTTCCCTTTCACCTGTTTCTAATCATATGTTTGGCAGTTAATGGTTAACGCAGGGATATTTGCAGAGAAGATTCGCCATGTGAATTCACCATGTTAGGGTTGCCAACTCCGGCCTAGGAAGTTCCTGAAGATTTGGTGAAGGGCAGAGAAGGTCAAAGAAGACGGGGACGGCAAAGGATGAGATGGTTAGACAGTGTCATAGATGCAACGAACATGAAATTGAGCAAACTTCAGAGGACAGCGGAAGACAGGAGGGCCTGGCGGGATCTGGTCCATGGGGTCGCGAAGAGTCGGACTCGACTGTGCGACTGAACAACAACAACAGTTTGCAGTGGGGAGGTCCCTCAATATAGTGTATAATAATGCCGTAGAGTCCACCCTCCAAATGAACCATTCCCTCCAGGGGAACTGA